AGCCCATCATCCCTGACCATAAGCCTTGCTGCTGAGGCTGATGGGAATTGGAGTCCAAAAACTTGTGGCGAGCCACAGATTCCCCACCCTTAAATTATTCCTATTTTTAAAAAAACAAGAACGCATTTAAAAAACGCATGCACATAAGTGTGCGTTTTAAAATGCATATATGAGTGGAAGTAATGCACAAAATGCATTATGTTGCAGGAAAATGCATTGCAAAAATTCCTATATTTGGCAGAACTGAGTACTAAAATGTGCATGGAGGAAATTTTCACTAAAATGCTGGTGAATTTTCCTGAGGACTTTTAAAAATGGCACAGAAGTGTGGAAACGTGGAGAAGCGAAACTGCAGTTGACAGGTTTACGCATCCCATCCCTGGGCCAGGGCTCACCTGACGTTCCTACAATGAACATGATGCTGCTTTTGCCTTTCTTCCCAGTGCCGTAGAAAGTAAGACAACGGTAGGAAGTGACACGTGGAAGGGTCAAAATGCAGGCTGGTGACATATGGGGAAATTGCAGCGTTCCGCTGAAACCAGCGGTTTACCAGTAGAAGGGGCATAGAAGCGCGAAGACACCCTGAGGGTTCTCCAGGAAAGCTTTCAGGGCATCAAATTAGATCCCTTTTTCACATACCTTTAGAAATAATTGAATGACTCATTTTGGAGCAGGTAGGCGAGAATAAAATAGCAGCTGCTGCAAACCCTCCTTAATTGTAGAAGTTTGCAAAGGTTGTGGAATGAGTTTTAGTCCGTCCTGGATTAAACACTGCGGATTCCTGCAAGCAGCAAGCTATATTATAGTGAGTGAGAAGGTGGAACAGACAACAGGACAAGGGTGTTTTCCAAAATCAAAACAACAAAACAAACCCTGCAGAAGTCTACAGCAGACAAAGAGCTTTTCCGAATTCCAAGATCTCTTTTTTCTCTACTTTTCTGCTCCTTTTTTTAAAAAAAAGAAAACAATGGCAGCTTATTTCCTTTCAGAAAATAGCAGAAAAGGATGTCGCTGCCTCCCCCTCTTTAAGGAACAAAAAGATTTGCAATCTCAAGAAAAATAGATTTGTTTGGGAGGGCTATTTATAAAGGAGATCTGTCCCCAGTAGGTTGGAGTAGGTTTGTTTTTAGTTATTTACTGCACTTATTCGTCGCTTTTTAAATTAAACTCAAAGTGACTTTAATAAGGTACCCCACGTGGAGCTATAGTAGGGCTCTCAGGTAACCGGTCCAAGCTGCTTTCAATGAAGTTCTAATTCTATAATGGGAAAGGACTTTTTAAAAAAACTTGGGGATGGCACACTACTGGTGGGTGTGGCAACAGGTGTGACTCTGTACAGGAGGCTGTGCTCAATAGGACCACGCAAAAGGCAGAGCACATCTCTGCATCCTTCATCCAGGCAACCGAGAAGCCTGGTGACATTTGACCATGCAGAAGCACTTGACAAGAGTTCCCAAGGGCCGGTCAGAGGGGTCTGGGGGCCATATTTTGCCCCTGAGCCTAAGGTTCCCTATAAGGCAGAGATATGGCCTGAGACACTACAGCCCTGTTCCAACCCAGAAAGCCTGAACCATTGGTGGGTAAGCAGGCACTCTTGGGGTGACAAGAGCAGCAGGCAATATTTCCAAGCTTGGGAATACAGTGGTGCCTCGCAAGACGAAATTAATTCGTTCCGCAAGTCTCTTCGTCTTGCGGTTTTTTCGTCTTGCGATGCACAGTTTCCCATAGGAATGCATTGAAAATCAATTAATGCGTTCCTAGGGAAACCGCCTTCAGACCAGGTCCGGGGACAGTCTGTCCCCGGACCTCTTCTGAAGGCTGGGGGGGGGGACAAGGGCTTTTCTTCCCACCCCCAGCATTTTAAAAAACCCTGGGACAGCGGAGGACTTCTCCGCTGTCCGGGGCGATCTTAAAATGCTGGCGGGCGGCATTTTAAAATCGCCCCGGACAGCGGAGGACTTCTCCGCTGTCCGGGGCGATTTAAAAGCCCCGGGGAAGGCAGGCAGGGGGGACAAAGACTTTCGCCCCCTGCCCGCCTTCAGAAGGTGTTCCCGCCCCCCGCCCCGCTTCGGAACAGCGTTCCGAAGTGGGGCGGCTGGGGCAGGTGTCCCCGCCCCCCCTCCCCGCTTCGGAACAGTGTTCCGAAGTGGGGCGGCTGGGGCAGGTGTCCCCGCCCCCCCTCCCCGCTTCGGAACAGCGTTCCGAAGTGGGGCGGCTGGGGCAGGTCTTCCCGCCCCCCCTCCCCGCTTCGGAACAGCGTTCCGAAGTGGGGCGGCTGGGGCAGGTGTCCCCGCCCCCCTCCCCGCTTCGGAACAATGTTCCGAAGTGGGGCGGCTGGGGCAGGTCTTCCCGCCCCCCCTCCCCGCTTCGGAACAGCGTTCCAAAGTGGGGCGGCTGGGGCAGGTGTCCCCGCCCCCCCTCCCCGCTTCGGAACAATGTTCCGAAGTGGGGCGACTGGGGCAGGTCTTCCCGCCCCCCCTCCCCGCTTCGGAACAGCGTTCCGAAGCGGGGCGGCTGGGGCAGGTGTCCCCGCCCCCCTCCCCGCTTCGGAACAGCGTTCCGAAGTGGGGCGGCTGGGGCAGGTGTTCCCGCCCCCCCTTCGGAACAGCGTTTTAAAATGCTGGGGGTCGGGAGAGAAGCGCTGCCGACCCCCAGCATTTTAAAACCTCCCCGGGACACGGGGAGATTTTAAAATGCTGGGGGTCGGCAGCGCTTCGCTCCCGACCCCCAGCATTTTAAAACCTCCCCGGGACACGGGGAGATTTTAAAATGCTGGGGGTCGGCAGCGCTTCGCTCCCGACCCCCAGCATTTTAAAACCTTCCCGGGACACGGGGAGATTTTAAAATGCTGGGGGTCGGCAGCGCTTCGCTCCCGACCCCCAGCATTTTAAAACCTCCCCGGGACACGGGGAGATTTTAAAATGCTGGGGGTCGGCAGCGCTTCGCTCCCGACCCCCAGCATTTTAAAATCTCCCCGGGACAGAGACTTCTCTGCTGTCCCTTGGAGATTTTAAAATGCTGGGGGTCGGCAGCGAACGCTTCGCTCCCGCCCGCCAGCATTTTAAGATCGCCCGGGGCAGGCGGGGGGAAGGCAGGCGGGGGGGGAGCAAAGACTTTTGCCCCCCGCCGGCCTTCAGAAGAGGTCCTCTTCTGAAGGCCGGCTGTGGGCGAAAGTCTTTGCTCCCGACCGCCAGCATTTCCCTATGGGCTTTCGTCGTGCGATGCAAGCCCATAGGGAAATTCGTCTTGCGAAGCGCCTCCAAAACAGAAAACCCTTTCGTCTTGCGGGTTTTCCGTCTTGCGAGGCATTCGTCTTGCGGGGTACCACTGTATGATTATAATTATATGGAGCGTGTTCATCAGGTTCATCTCAAGTACAAGGCAGGCCTTATGGCCCTCAAATTGTTCCTTTACAGCCAGGTAGAGGAATCTGTGACCCTCCAGATATTCGTGGACTTCCAACTCCTGTTGTCCCAAGTCAGCTTGGCTTACGGTCAAGGAGGATGGGAGTCGTGGTCTGGCAGCACCTAGCGGGCCACTGGCTCCCCAGCCCTTCTCATAACGGAGGCAGTGACTGCAGTCTGTGCTGCAGAGTGTGTCCAGGGGAAGCATCCATGGGGGCCCCACAGCTCACAAAGCCCCCTCTCCAAGCAGTGCTGCTTCCCTCCCTCAGAGCACCTGTCAGGGAACTGCCATCAGCTCAGAGGCGAGAGGTGGAAGGGCAGTTGTGTTATATGGAACCTCCGAATATCTTGCGAAACAGTTCCTCCTCTGGTGAGGAGGAAAGCCCTGCCTCCAAGGACCAGGAGATGCTAGGGAGAGCCTCAACACGGAGCCTGAGCAAAGCGAAGGGGAGGCAAGTCCCCCTTTGCCAGCACCCACTCTGCTTAGTAGGTTTTGGCGCAGAGAGGGGAGGAGAAGGATGGGGGTCACACGGCTGTTATGCTGGGGGAGGTACAAGGACAGGCCACTTCCAGATTCTGCTAGCGACTGAGCCAGACATGAACTTGCGACGCTCTTCACCGTAAATATTTTGGACTAATAGTAAAGCTGGAAAAGACAGGTCAGAGTCTTGCCTGTTTGCTCTCGAGCAACCACACCAACACCTGACAGCACCCAAGCCCTTGCCAGCAGGAATTGTGCTTTGTGTGGCCAGGTTCAAGCAGCCCAGGCAAAGGAGGCCTTTCTCAAGGACAGCATTGCTTTAGACCGGGCGCCAAATGTGTGGTGGTCTTCTTTTAAAAAATTTGAAGTTTGGGGTTGTTGTTGTTTTAGCTTTTTCTAACTTTAATACTAAGCCGTCTTGTTTTTTCACTTTATTGAGCGGCTAGTTTGATTTTCTGTTTTCTATTCCTGTACGCTGGCCTGTCGTCTGATTTTTCTCTTCTGTTCTCTATTTTAGAAAAGTGTTATAGCCATTTTATTAAACACACACAACCCTGCCTCTAATATTTTGTGCCAGTAATCCGAGACCCCTGCTTGGCACGCTGTGCTTGTTATCCTTTCTCACAAACAGATAATGGGGAGTGAGGAAAGGACAGGAAATAGGCAGATGTTGTATTGCCAGAGGGGATGGATGGGTGACAGGCAGGGAGTCGTCTGAAGATGGCTTGTCAACATGCACTGTACAAAACCAACCATCTCCCCCAGCTAAAGAAGGGTGACATCGCTTGCAGAAACCTTTGGGGAGTTTATGCTGCTGGGTCTTTGACTGTTCCCAGTGTGGGAGCAGCGTGACTCTTGCATGGCCACCGTGGAAGGGATGCCCAGTGCACCTGGGTGATGCCGTTTCCGCTTGCCTGTTTTCTTGTTCTCTTCCACAAATGGCTCGCCTGTCCAAAAATGACAAGTGAGCCAGCAGGATGGGCTTCAGCATTGGCTAGTTGAGCATCCAGTGACGGCTGCTCTCGATGTCAGGGTCTGTGTCTGTAAAGTTTCTGTGGTTTTTTTTTTAATTTTTGGAACTTGCTGATACCTTTCCTCCCCCTCTTCCTTTGCAGAGTAAATCAACTCATGATGCCTCCAGCCTCTGTGAAAGTCTAAGGCGGTGAGTAAACCAAAAGAGGTGTGTGCGTCTTCTGTGTGTGTGTGCAGGTTGGAAGGTGGTTGCCAGGCCTTTGGGCTGATGTGTTGAAGGGGAGCTAAATGTGTTGAAGGGGAGCATCTTCAAATACCTGAAGGGCTGTCACATGGAAGAGAGAGCAAGCTTGTTTTCTGCTGCTCCAGAGGGTAGGATCTGAGCCAATGGATCCCAAATGCAAGGGAGGAGATTCTGACAAAACCTTAGGAGTGTGCTGGCTGTTTGCGGCCAGGAAGCCTGTGAAACCACAAGGCAGAAGCGTTTGTGTCCGTAAAGCTTTATTGGGCATTGAAAAATTCGGATGAGTGCAAATTGTGAAGGCTTGGCTCCTTTGATTCGTGCATATTCCTTTCAGAATGACAAAATGGGAAATGGTTGGCTTTAAAGGTATGCTGAATTGAGTTGCTCCTCTGTCCATGTATTGGAAATGCAGGAGGTTTGAGTACGTGGACTTCAAGGCTCCCCTCAGTGACTCTTAAATTGGACAGAGCATTCCTAGGAGGAAGCAGCGAAAGGAGTCATAAAAGGAATCCGGCCACCCCAGTAGGAGCCTTTGCACAATCCTATTAAGTAGCTCTTACAGTTGCGATTAAATTTAATCGTATGAACACCAAGGGATTCATTTGACAGTCCTTTTAGTCTTTTTTAATCACTTTAGGTACATTATTAGGCAAACAGGCTTTTCAAGTGTATTAGTAGCTCAGCAGCCCCTCCATTTTTAATGCAGAAAATGCCACTTCAGAGGGAGCAGTTAGGCTCTAGAAGTGGAAACGGGCATTTTTACTTTTCCCCAGCCTGCCATTTTCCTGCTCCAAATCCCCACCTCCAAGTCCACAATGGCTTTTCCCACTCTGGGGTTCCAAAACTGGGTGAGCCCCTTGCTTCCTTTTGCTGATCCCAGTCCCAAAATGTGGCTCTACCTGTATTGCTTAAATAATAGTTTCATTGCATATATTTGCATGCCGCAAACCATTGCATATTTGGGCATGTAACAAACCATTGCATATGTTTGCATATAAAAAGCCGCTGGGGAAAAAACTTGTCTGGTCTTACAGCACATAAGTGGGAGCATCACATGACCTATAGCTGTGGGGAGATGTAGGCCCTTCACTGAAGCTAAGCTGATCTGGGACTAGCCCGTTCCTGGATGGAAGGCCACCTGGGAATGCCAGTGTTTGCCAGCTTGAGCTCTCTCACAGCACAGACAGGATGTGACTGTTGTAAAATAAATCGAGAGAGTCACAATTTAATTACAGGTTGTCACTCATTGCTAGAGGAAAATGCCATGTTCACTCTTTAATTTTGCAAGAACAGACTAGATCAGCAGAACTTAATACTTTGGCATTGTAGTGTGTTTAATAAGGGCCTGATGAGAACAGATCCATGTCCTAAAAAATTGCTTTGTATCTGAAGCAGCTATAAAGGAAAATTAAGCCTAAGACTTATCACCGCTTACAGCCGTGTGCTGTCATGAGGAACAGGAGAATAAAACCCTGTTTAGGTAACTTGCAAGTCTTGGGTTGGCTGAGTTGATAAAACTGCCCAATTTTAAAATCCTACATCGAAACCAGGAATGAAGTCAGGCCCATACCTTCCTCACGTATTTCTGTCTTTACAAATACATTGGTACCTAAGGTTACAGACGCTTCAGGTTACAGACTCCGCTAACCCAGAAATAGTACCTCAGGTTAAGAACTTTGCTTCAGGATGAGAACAGAAATTGTGGTGTGGCGGCAGCAGGAGGCCCCATTAGCTAAAGTGGTACCTCAGGTTAAGAACAGTTTCAGGTTAAGAACGGACCTCCAGAACAAATTAAGTTCTTAACCCGAGATACCACTGTTAGCAAATTGCCTAATGCAGCAGACTTCCATAGAAAACAACTGAACCTGTCTTCCCTCCCTTACTTCTGGCCCAGTTCTGCAGCCTGTTGGATTATGGACACACATATTCCCGTTAGCGGTCCGAGCTAATACACATCCAACTGTCTCCCTTGCTCTGAAAGCTTGTGTGTGTCCTTTCTTCCACGCTAACAACTTGTCTTTGTTCCCTTCCGCACAGCTGACGTCCCGGATGATGAAGGAAAGCTTTTGTGAGCTCCGGCAGCCGCCGAAACCCAAAGCGAGCACCTGCAGGAGACGCCCTCCCCCCTCCAATCCACCCTTCCCGGAACATGGAGCCGCGGGAAATTCATCCCGGGGAACCAATTACGCAGCGACATGGTGTTACTTCAGCCAGAGGAGAGGGGGAGTCCGTTGGAGCACATCTCAACAGACGTGGAGTCCTGTGCTTTTGCGGTCTTGCGTAAAGAAGAGCTCCCGTCTCCCCTGCTCCAGAGGGAAGGGACCTTCCTGGCTGGCATCTTTCCCAAAAAGAAGTCACTTGAAGGACTGGTGTACAGCTTTGCTTTCGGCTCCATGAAGATGCTCCCTTGGGTCAACGGCGAAGACTCCCTGCCCCATTGAACACACTGCTGCTCTTGCCATCCATCTCTTGTCTCCATCCAGAGGCGTCATCCTAGTTGGAGAAGCAGAGCCTCAGCTTTGGGTTGTGAAAGCCAAGATCCGTTTTGTATTATTGAATCATGGCATAGGACACTTCCTGCAGGAGGTCAAAAAGATTGGGCCGGATGGGCACATTCACATACATACATATATATATTTAATTTAAAGGTGTTCTTTGCACTAGCAGGAAGCTGCTGGAGCTACCTCAAGGCCACTGCAGGGTTTGGTCTTGGTCAGGAATTTGGTGTTTCAACTTTCTACTGGGGAATCCAAGCGTAATTTCAAGCCCTTTGAGGGGTGGGGAGAAGCAACAGAGAAAGAGGCGGCGTGGGCAGCTTTAGCCGAGAACGTTACCTACCTACTGATGGTCCTCCGGGTCAGAAATGAAGCTGCCCAGAGTGTCCGTTTCTTTAAATGCAAGTGAATGTGAGATAGTTGCTGCTTTGGGGTCAAGGTCAGGTTGGAGTAGAACCACTGTTTCCTGCTGGAGACAAATGCTATGGGAGTAGGTTGATGTTAGGGAACTCTTTGAGTAGGGCAGGCTGTGGTGGAGCCACAGTGATCCCACCCAGATCCCGAAATCTCCAGTCTCTGCTGTTCCAAGAAATTTGTGTTTTCAGAAAGATCCTGATTGGCTCCCAGTAGTGCCCATCAACTCACTCAGAGAAGCAGAAAGAATGTGATTTCTGCTGTGTTGGGTTTAACATCAGCCATCTCTTTGTCAGTGAACATGCACATATAGTCAGGAATATTGCCTCTCACCTCTAGCAAGGGCCAGGAGGGTAGTGACTCCTGTGGGGGTTCGAGGCTCTGCTGAAAGGTTGTAGCACCTTGGAAGACGAAAGGCCTGCCAAGTAAAGGGACCCCTGACCATTAGGTCCAGTCGCGGACAACTCTGGGGTTGTGGCGCTCATCTCGCTTTATTGGCCGAGGGAGCTGGCGTTTGTCCGCAGACAGCTTCCGGGTCATGTGGCCAGCATGACTAAACTGCTTCTGGCGAACCAGAGCAGTGCACGGAAATGCTGTTTACCTTCCCGCTGGAGTGGTACCTATTTATCTACTTGCACTTCGTGCTTTCGAACTGCTAGGTGGGCAGGAGCTGGGACCGAGCAACGGGAGGCCACCCCATCACGGGGATTCAAACCACCGACCTTCTGATTGGCAAGCCCTAGGCTCTGTGGTTTAACCCACAGCGCCACCCGCGTCCCTAAGTTGCATGGTACACGGTGCCAATTCTCCACGACAGATCCCTGATAGAAGTGTCAGTCCCTTCAACTTCCTGTTGTTGGCGCTACAAGCTTTCTGCAGCCGAGTGGGGTGGTGGAGACAAGCAAGCTAGCTCCACACACACATAGACACCGCAAGTCAGGTGTGTTGGAGGGCAAACTTCTGAAGAAGGGAGCCTCTTCTGTGCATGAACCCCCGAGGATGAGGACTCCAGGGGGCTCAACAGGAATAGCGGCAGGGGGTGGGTTTGTGTAGGACATTTGTTCCCCCTTCACCCGTTTACTTGACTCGGATGTAGAAAGCCTGGAGCGGGCTACAGGCACATAGGAAGCTGCTCTCCAGAAGAGGCCTAAAAAATACAAAGCGAAGAGACAGTGGAGCTAAGTTTACTGTTTATTATACGCACCCACTTTTGCATTGGAAAGCTATGAGCCAACTCTGGGATTAGGCTGAATTTATTTGCCAGAGAGAATGGTGCAGTGGCATGGAGAACATAGCTGTCAGGGCCTGGAGGGGAAGATATCACCATGGTCTGAATTTCAGCCGCAGAAGAACATTAAGGAAAAAGGTGCGCTCTCAGAGCATAAATCAGGTCAAAGCATCACCACGCAAGATGGCAAAGTAATCTTGACCTCCACCCTCATCAACTCCCCGCATCTCCTCAAATGTTCCACCTTTCACCCTGCCTCTCACTGCCGGGCTTTTGTCATTTGCTCCGACCTTTTCCCCCCCGTCTTTCTTTCCTTGTAAAGAGACACTTAAAAACAATCGCTTTGGCAAATGGTGAAAGGGATGGAAATGTGACGTACGTTTTCTTGTTATACAAGGCAGGACTCGAACCAGTTTTCTGATTTTCTTTCAGAAGCAAAACAAAAACAAATAAGACGAAAAATGGCTATTTTATATTTTAAAGAGCAATGAAGTTGATTATGGATCTCAGAGTATAAGAAGAAGAATTAAATATAAATATATGCATTATGTAAATTAAGAAATAAAGCTATTTAAACACTTTGTGCCGGCTTTCATCTCTCGCTCGGCTGCCTGTCGGGAGACGCGGGTTCCAGGTGAGACAGCGGCTTTGAAAGAAACCGCGGGTGTTTCTCCTCCAACAGCGCTTACAGCCATGCCTGTACAGAGATCTGAAGAGATTTGCTGCAAACAAGTAGGGCCGGCCCACGCAGGAGGCAAAGCAAGGCAACTGCCTCGGGCGGCGGGATTCACAGGGGCAGCAGATCCGGCCTCTAAGGAACGTGTCTCCTGCTGCTGCCGCGATGGCAGCAACGCCTGTGGTGTGCTCCTTGGAAGCTGGGTCTGCCTCCTCCTTGGCAGCACCCCCATGCCACCTCTACAGCAGTGTCTTGGCAAATAGGAGGCACTGCTGGTCTTTCACCACCAGGAAGGAAATGGGGGGGGGTCTGCTGTCCAGGTTCTCCTGGGCTCTGCTGGTGTGATTCAGGGTGGGCCCCTTACCCCCCACTGCAACGGCCCTTAATTCTCAGTAATGATGGCACCGGGCAACCCTCCTGGGGCAGAGCGTTCTATAAGTGGGGAGCCACCTCAGAAAAAGCCAGTTCTCATGTTGCCACCGTCCGGACCCCTCATGGAGGCGGCACATGGATAAGGGCCTCAGATGATGACCGCAGGGTCTGGGATGATAATAATAATAATAATTTTTTATTTATACCCCGCCCTTCCCAGTTCAGAAAACTGGGCTCAGGGCGGCTAACAACAAATTTAAAACACTTAATTGACGCAACAAAAAAGAGCATAAAATACAGTATAAAACGTGAATAACAATAAATTCAGAATTCAAAAATCAGTTTAGGGGGAAATCAATAGAGAGACGGGGCTGTTGATATGATCCAGTGCAACTCTTGTTGAGATTTGTGTTGCCATAGCTGGGCTCAGATCATCGGTCTCTAGACCGGTTAGTGTTGTCACCCTGACTGTTTTTGTCAGCTACAGAGAGATTAGCTTTAGGGCTAAATGACTTGTTACAGTGCGGATGGTTCTACTTGCGTTCAGGCAGATTCTAGTAGAAGCCGCCTGCAAACGGGGGACGTCAGTGACTGACCTGGGTGTGTGTGTGTGTGTACATGTGTGTTTATCAGCGCAAAGATGTTAGGAGGGTGAACCTTGCATGCACACTCCTTCCCCGCCCCCCAATTCAAGCAGTGCATCTTCAGACAAATGCACATGTGCCCAGGCATGGCAGAATTCCCCGAAGCTTCCAGGCATGGACAATTCATCCTCTCAAATCAATTCGGCTGCCTGACACACAGTCTCTGCAGCAACAACCCCCATACCGACTGCCAGTTGCGAGAGGCCGCGACCACCCCCTTCCATTTGCAGAACCAATTTGCAGAATTTATAACAAGGCACAGCTCAAGAGGCGAGCTTCGGGGGAGGGGGTGAGCCAGGTCACATCCGAGGGCTTTTAATGGGGGCATAGCCTTTTAATAATGCGCTTAGGCTGGCTTTTGACATCTCTCATGAACGACAGGGAACGCCCACTGCAGGAACCTTGACAGCGGTTTCCACAACCACCCACCCCATCTCAGAAATGGTGCTGAACAGGACTGCGAAGAGAGCAAATGAAAAAGGCATTCTGTGGTGCATTTCCCCTCACATAACCAACACATTCCTCTACGGGCGATCTGTTGAGGACCACATAGCATCATAAGAGCTGGAAGGGACCCTGCGGGTCATCTAGTCCAACCCCCTGGCATACAGGAATATGTTTGCCCAATGGGGGGTTCGAACCCACAACCCTGAGTTTAAGAGGCTCATGCTCTACTGACTGAGCTGTGTGTTGGATTACCTGAAGTACATTGCTGGCAAAGCATCAATCTCCCTCAAAAGGCCCAGGTCAGTTCCCCTTCAACCTTAGGATACATTTTGTTACCACCCCAACTCCCGACCTGCCTGGCAGCAACTGGAAGCAATGTGGGGGCATTTCGCCTTGCTGGACAGCAAAGCCCAGGCCTTCAGCATCTCCAATAACCTCCTCTGCCTCTGGCCAGATACGCGCCATTCATTTAAAGCACAGCAAAATCACTTTGGACTGCCATGGATTTCCCCAAAGAATTCTGGAAGCCGCATGTTGTTAAGGGTGCTGCAATTTCCCGAGCGGTTTATCAACCTGTCCATCCCTCTTTGCAGGGAACACCTGGGATTGTAGCTGGGTGAGGGGAATGGACAGTGCTGTTTTGATTAAAGAAGTAAGCAAGGCGCCGCTCCTCATGGAGGGCAGCGCCGTGGGTGCCAGCACAAAATGGCTGCCACGGGCAGTTGTCATAATCTCGTTGCTGAGCAACAAGGTGCAAACCAGCCAACCAGAAGCGTCTCTGAGGTGGACTTCGGTCAGCATCCGAAGTCAGGTCCAGTCCTAGGGTCGGGCAAACTGCAATCCATGAGCTCAGACGGTCCAGGAATCCAATGATCATGGGGTCAGGGGTCAAGACGAGCAAGAAGCCAGGAACTGCAAATGTCGTTTCCAGCGTTTGATGGCTGCTGGAAGCTCGGCTTAAGGCGGCTGAAGCCAGCTGCTTCTTACAGCACCTTCTATTGAGTTCTTGAAGGCTGATCAGCTGCAGGTGGAGTCACTCCATCTTCTCCCCCCTCCAGGCTGCTGTTCAACAGGTGAAGCCGACTCCTGGCTCATTACAGCAGCAGAAATAAAACAAGGTGCCAGTACTCCGTACCAGGGAGAATTCAAAAATAAAAATAAAAATCTAGGAATCAGGACGCCTAAAATCAATCAGCACCTTTAACATAGTCCCCAGGGGTGTTTGCGGAAGGCCTCAACAAAGCGGTGTCACTTTAATTTTAATAAGTATTAAATTTGTATTACTTTGGCAACAATTGGTTAAAGATTATGGCAAACCAATAAAAAATATCGGCAAAAAAAAAAGTGGCATCATAGTGCTTTATGTGTGTGGTACGGATATAGCCACAGAATGCTGGCTGGCAGCTGAAGGAGCAGCGAATAGAAACTGTATGGGGGAGCGTGCAATGGAGTATCCTGAAAAAGAGCGTGGCTGGCTGCCGCAACCCTGGATGAGAGCTCCTCACCGCAACATTGTGGTGCACAGAATATGACAGAATCTCTCACACCCATCTGTTAGTACTGCTTCTCCTCAGACAGCAAAAAGCAG